TTCTCGAGTAAGCAGGTCGGTAGATGAAATAAATACTCTTTAAAATAAACGGTGCGTTTACTCAAGTACGGGCATCCACTATAAATAATGTTTGAAGTAATAAAATGAGTGATTAAAAATAAAAATTCGTTAATTCTTTAGCGATCTATACATATATAAACTTTGCGGTGATTTTATAATTTCTAAACGAGTATATATATATATATATATATATATATATATATATATATATTTTGTCAACTGCACAGTATAGTAGGGTCAGTTGGGCACCGCCTGTGAAAAAAAGAGCAGCATGGCGCAATTCACTTTGCCAGAAATTTGGATACAGCATGCTGTACTGCTTGGTATTCGCGCCGGAAGCTCCAATACGAACATTTCAGACTGTTTGGGTGACAATCTGAGGACCGTGCAGAGGATTCGGAATGAGTTGGGTGAGTCTAATGGTGATTACGAAGGTGTTTGAGGTGATCACTAGTGATGGCGACGTTATGACTTCATTCATCTTCCCACAGGGGCTCAGACTCAACACAGAGGCTTACGTCAAATGCCTTGAGGAGGTAGTGCTGCTCTAAGTTAAGAGGGTAGTTACTGGAAGACCCTATGTCTGGCAACATGACTCTGCACCATGCCACACTAGTAATAGAACCCAATCATGGCTCTCAAACAATTTCTACGATCATATCATCCCTTACATCCCAAACTGCATTACGCTTGATTATTACGTGTGGGCGCAGTTGAGTGACAGACCAATAAAACTCCTTGTAACACCAAAGATGAACTAAAGACAAGGATAATGACAGCATTCACCAACTTAAACTAGGAGATAGTCCAAAAGAGTTGTAGGAGATTCCAAAGTCGTCTAGAGGCCGTGATTGAAGCCGATGGCGACTTTATTGAATAAATTTACTCTTTTGTATTTAAAGATATTTTTGTGTAATTTTGTTAACTATATCTGTTAAAATGAGAAGAAAGTGTTATTTTCATTTTTGCATAATTTAGACGACAATTTATCCATCGCATCCTGTATAATGTTCGTTTAGAGATGGCGCGTTTGAAGATATAAGCTGTTGATATAAAAACGGCATTGCATGGTGAGTGTTTACATGTCTTAAGCGATTATCAGAACATGTTTGATATATTTTAATAATCGCTTAAAAGACATATAAATAGACAGTCACCATACACTGTTGATTTTAATATCAATAGTTTATGTCTACAAACGCTCCATCTCCAAAACTGAGTATTCTTTATCTATAAATATAGTAAATCGTGACATTTTTAATGGAATTTGTTAAAAAGCAATCCAGATATTTAAAAACATCTTTTTAATTTATTTTAAATATTTAAATGCGTGATCGAAAATTTCTTGACGTAGTTGTCCGTAAATTTTAAGAGACAAAATAATTGCAGAGGAAATGACTTGAATGTAGTTACAAAAAGGATATGTGAACAGAGAAACTGAATCTCTTCTAATGACGATTCAAAACAATTTTAAAAGAATAAACTATACTCAAGTCAAAATAGTAGAATAGTAAATGTCACTTCTGTGGAGATAGGTAATAACATAAGAAAATATAGCAAATTTGCACAGAAGTATAAAAATAGATATGATTTGGTAGGAACAGTAATCTATTTGGTATTGTGCAAAAAACAGATTTAATCATGCAAATCAATGGTATATGCACGCGCGCGCGCGCACACACGCACACACATAAGTATCTGTCTTAGAGGCTATTAGAAAAGTAAAACTTCATGGAACTTTGTAATTTAAACAGACCATGCACTTAAAAGAGAAGATCCGATATTGTCATTGTAAACAAAGAAAAGAAAACTTGTCAATTCGTGGATATCGCTATTTCAGTAAACCATTAAAATTGAAGGAAAGAAAATAACTGGACAAATATATGGAGCTCTTCAGAGAAGTGGGAAAAAATGAAGTGAACTCCATGGATATGCTAAGAGACAAGCAAAAGGAGTTGTAGACATGATAGCATGGTTATGCAAAGGGCAGATGAAAAAAGAAGAAATGTAATGACTGTTAATGACAGTTCAAAACAAATTCAACTTCATGTCTGTCTCTTCTACTTCAATAGCTTCATGTCTCGCACTTCTCGCCTGTGGAACTCCCTTCCCTATTCCAGTTTCCCTGAGAGCTATAATCTCCAGCTATTCAAATGTAATGTCAATCGACATCTCCAGTTGCCTTGATCTATCCACTATCCTTCTCCTCATCCTTTCTTCTATCACTCCTATCTGATCTTGCTCCAAATTTTTCTGTAACCCCTTGCGTCCCAGTGGCTTCTCGCCTTGCTTGGGGTGAAACGCTTAAAAAAAAAAGAAAAGAAAAAAAAAATTCAGACCGAAATCGACAGAATACAACAGAACAGCAAATGTCACTTATGTAGAGATAGGGATGAAGTAGACATGATTGGGTAGGAACTGTAATCTGTCAGGAATTGTGCAGATATTTGCGATTTAATCGGGCAAATAATATACGCACAAACTATTAGAGAAGGCAAAAAAATAAAATTCAATGAAACTTCGTCATTTAAATGGATTATTTACTCCAAGCCAGAATCCCAGGTATAGTAATTGTAAACAAAGAAAAGGGAAATGTGTTAATTCGTCGATGTCGCTATTCCAGTAGACTACAGAGTAAAATTGAGGGAAAGTGGATATCTGTGTAAATACTGAGATCTTGTACAAGAAGTGAAAAATTGTGAAATAAGAAAGGATATTTTTACCCATAATGATTGACGCACTTAGATGAATCCGAAGAATCTTGCAAAGCGGTGGGAAAGATTAGAAATCCGAGGAAGAATTAAAACCGTTCAGCTAGAATACTGAGGAGGGTGCTGGAGTATGGATAAAGCTTGCAGCCACTTGATCTTCAGAGAAAAGCCAAATTTACAACTGATGTGAAAATTTAAGGGTACAGATAATTTTATATAAAGGCGACGAACAATGGGTGAGTTTTTGTTAAAAACACTTTATGAAATTAAAAAGTAAACATATCTGAATACGTTTATTGTTCCAGTCACTGCACACCGAAGGTGATAATTTTTTTTTAACAAACATATTTTTAAAGGAACGGGTTTTACATACGGCAGAGTTGATACGAATAGGTATAAAAAAAAACATTAATTTTTCCTTGATCACGAGTAGAACGACTGGCTTACATTTTGTTTTGTATTTGTAAATTCATTTAAATAAATTAATGATGAAAACAAGATTAAGTACGTCTAAAGTTCTAAAACTTTAGACTGGTAGACGTTTTTGTCAGCCGGAGAAAGATACTCAAAAAAAAAAAAAGAAAAAAAAGAAATGTGGCTCTTACGAAAATGGATAGAAGCAGGTGGCGACATTGAAAAATCTTATTGCGTAATACATGAACTGACTTAACTAATTTATTTATTGCTTTCTTGTATGTATGTTTTTGTGTTTTCTTTCATGATTCATTGTTGGCCATCCATTCCTCCCCACTACTTTTCCATAGATGCTAAAACTTTCCGTGTGGTCAGTGCGTCCGTCTAAAAAGGCTTCAATAAGATAATTGTTCCGAACACAGTGCCCTCAAAATTCAATGGACCTATTACAGAACCAACGTGAAATTAGCATTTCTTTTGCGCATTTCTTTTTGCGCGTACAGAGTCTAAAGGGCGCGGAATTGTTCTAACGGTGATCAGCACACAAAATGAGATCGATGAATCTTAGTTTTCCATCATCAGTGTTTGATCTTTTAAGACTCTTTGGAGCAGAGCTGCACAAAATACGACCTGCGGGGGTTCTATGTGACCCTCAAGATCAACTCAGTGTAGTCTGTGCAGAGGTTTAAAAACGAATCAATATTTTTGTGTTCATTAGAGTCAACTGAGATATATATATATATATATATATATATATATATATATATATATATATATATATATATATATATATATTACTATCTCAGAAATTTAATTTAAAAATTTACTGTTGCTGCTAATTTTCGGCGTTCAATGTGGCCCTTCATATTTTTTTTATTGTAGCGGCCTGCTTCAGAGTAATTTCACTTTTGAGAAGGAATCAACTCTTAAATCATTGTCGAACTGATGACATTTACTAAACATAATTTTATACGGCAATTAGGAAGTTCATATACTTATATACGATGTGCAGGTAGTATAACGGTTATCGGCGTGAAAAGTAGAATTGGCGAACCGTGTTCAAATTCTGACCCAGTGTGTTGAGTTCACTTTCGCACTAATTCCCTCAAGAAGGCATGAATCCATCTCTTCTATCAAGGTTATTAGTACGACATTAGTGGTGGTGGTGGTGGGGGGGTATATAGAAACTTAGCCTTAGGTGGTAGCCAATCTAAGAGAAGGTTATCCCTGAATTCCAAAACCGTTGAGAAGGCAACATGAAGCTGCTCCACTATCTTTCCCAAGATGTCATGACAATACAAAGATAATAAAAATAAAAGGATCTGTGAAGAACCATGACTGACTAAAAATTCTGAAAGGATTTTTCTTCCTTTTTCATTCAAATGTTTTTCTACTTTGCCTTTATTCCTTTCTTGTACAAACAAACACCTTATAAGCGGGTGCTGAAAAGTTATCGACCTGACTAAGGGATTTCTAAAAATTCTGATGTTTGGTCATTTGGTCAGATTTTACGAAATGGGTTCCACCGATAACTTTTTAGCATTGCCTCGATCGAACATATTTAATGACTGTCTCTACAGAATCACCTACGAAGAACTGTATCAGAAAACAGAAAACACATCCCGTGACGACTTTCAACAGCAGCAATAGCTAAAATGGATATCACATGTAACTCGAAGAGAAAATAATGACATAATCAAGATGTTGACATTCCACACTACTTAAAAGTTTAGGAAGGAAACAGTACAATCGTTAGGCACTGAGTACCTGAGGATTGTAATAACAGCATTAACGCCCACACGGAACTTTAAGTTGCTGAAAACAATAACATAAGAGTATTGTTTTACTTATATTTTAGATAGATAGATAGATAGATAGATAGATAGATAGATAGATAGATAGATAGATAGATAGATAGATAGATAGATAGATAGGTTTAAAAATACATAGACACTATTTATCATTAACGCAAATATATAGAAACCCTATTCCATCAACAAAATTATTAATCTGAAGAAGTTCCATCTTTCGGATTAAAACGAATCACTAACGATTCTTTTCTATTTTTTGACATTCGCTTACCCACTATTAGTCTAACACACACACACACACACACACACACACACACATCTCAACCAACACTCAACAAAATTTATTACAAATTAAATTTATTATATTTAATGCCATTTTGCATTTCTACCAATTTTCGGCCAGCTCCCTTATATTGAAACGCTTGTTTTGCTAAGAAAAAGTCCATAGCTACAATGGATAAATTTAAAATTTAAAAATAATTACAGAACGCATTCGCGCGTGTTTTTTAAAAAAAATCACCATCACAACGAAATGCAGATTTTTATCGCAGTTACGATAAGTTTGTGTTTGTAATCTATTTATTGGTCTATGCTAACTTGGACGCCAACCTACATTCACAAAATACGTACCATGCACACGAATGCATTATGATTAGCTAGTAGGATTTACAAGAGCGCCAATCTTCTATTTCAAAGGAGGCTTGTCTGTCATGAATACCAACATTCCGCAATTATTTTCTTTTTATTTCCAGGACTTGAACATGGATGCCAGGGGCAAGTAATAAGGCGCATAAATATGAAGATAAATAGATAGATAAATAGATATGCGTGTTTACGTACGCCTAGCGACCAGTTATCGTTTATTTTTTGCTAATATATTTTATGTGAATAAATTTTCGAATCAATTCCTGGGAATCTACTCATTTTGCTGCAAATATTCAAAGAATGGTACACACCCGTACACGTTATAAAGTATATAATATACATAACCCATTATGTATATACATCTATTTATAAGTCGCATAACTCTGGGCGTAGTAATTTGTTCAACAAATCTACACCCTATGCTGTACTCTTACGAAACAGGCCAGCATTCTTGACTTTGCTTAAAAGAAAGAAAAGAGAAGTTGTGAGGCAACAAAATTGAGAAAGAGAAAAGAAGGAAAAAGAGAGATAAATAGAGAGATAAATAACTTTGGTACGCGTTTCGAAATAAGTGTGGAGGGCAGAGAGAAAGAGAGAGAGAGAGAGAGAGAGAGAGAGAGAGAGAGAGAGAGAGATCAGGCCAGAAATGGGTGTCTAACGAAATTTCAAACAATCATATTCAAGAAAGAGAGAAGTAACTGTAGTGTTGGAAAGAATGATTTCTTAAATTGAATATGTGAGGGAGAGTAGAGTAATACAGTCTTATACAGACACATTTATATCTAATCAGGGGTCGGAATAAAAACAGCAGGGGACACTTCGTCGACGCTTACGTGCTCCTTAACGCATCTAAGGTGACCTGTGTTGTTTACAAAGACAAGAAAAGCGCAACTCCCCCGCGTCCCGGCTGCAGCTCTGAAACCTGGTTTGTTGCTTGAGAAGGTAAGGGGAGATAAATGAAAGTAGAAAGTAGAAAGATGGCGCTCTACTTTGGTGTGACATGTACTAAAAAAAAAAAGTTGTTTACCTGTAAAAACGCGTAAATAACAAAAAAGTAAATCTAAAACAGCTGGTATTTCTTTACATTCGCAGTTTTTAAAAATTGTAAACATGTATATTTGTAACCAATCTCTTAGGATATTTTTTTAACTAATATATAATAACAAAAGAATTCTGCCTCGAAAATGTATATGTAAAACTTTACCAAGTAAAATGAGGCATTGCCTTCAATTCGTTTTTTTTTTTAAATCGAATTCCCCCAAGCAAAGTAGTAAAGCCACTAAGACACAGGGGGGTTATTGGGCGTGGAAGAATTAAAAAAGAGAAATATTACTAAGGAGCAAAAAGAATAGAATAGTAATCAGGAAGACAGTAGATGGCGATTGAAATTGTATTTAAATTTTTGAAGATTAAATTTGACTGGAAAGCATGGAGCTGGAAGAGAGTTCAACAAACAGGAACTGCGAGAAAATACGACGTGGGGAAAAATAAACATGCATAAAAATAATAAGTCATTGATTAATAGAAACTGTGTAGGAAGTTGCTAGGCAAAATAAAAATAAATAAATAAATGATTTATCCAAAATAAGATGTAAAATTTTTCAATTATGCAAAACAAGTACGACGTTAACGGTTAAATCGGCCATTTTTTTCCTACGTTAGATTAAGGACACGACAATGAACACAAAAGAGAACATTAAATGCCATAACCCTAACACTAGCTTTCTTTTGCGGTAATATAACGGTTCTTCTTTTTATTCTCTACGAGCCGTGTCCCTTCAGGACGTAGGCGATCATGGATCTCCACAACTTCATGTCCGTCGTAGCTCTTAATTTTTTAAAATCTTTTTCTTATCCCTCCTAATCCCTGTTCCGTCATCCATTTACTCAAGTTCATTAAGTAGGTTATGCGTTGTTTTCCTTTGCTTCTCTTGCTTTCAATCTGTACTGTGGGTATCAGATCTTCCAAGCCTTCTTTCCTCGTTATGCATTTTGATGTTAAATATAAAAGGCTCTTGAACGACCCGAATCTGAAGAAGAAATACATGGACAATGTGAAAAGCAGATACGATGGACAAAATGAAAATGAAAACTTGAAATGGGACATATTAAGAGAACCTTTAGTAACATCAGCAATCGAGATCACCCCCCCCCACCAAAAAAAAAAAAAAACTGACAGGATGACAGATGAAATTCCTGACATGATGAAAAGGCGACAAAAAATCAATGCCAAGGTACGGAAGAGAATGTATAGGAAACTACCCAAAATATAACGGTTAGCGACTCGAAAAGAGAAATCGACGAATCAAGTTCTAATACCGCCATAGTATGTTACTTTCACTTGCGCACATCTATGGTCGGCTACCACTCGTATCCGAGCACATTCATCTGCCAGTGCGGCTAACAAATCTATCATAGACGCACCGCTCAACCCATAGAGTCCGATTACGGGTTTATACTGTATAAGCTTAGATGGGAGTGATTGTTTTTTGAACAAGGTTAGCATGCTCAAACGTTCGGTCACGATGACTTGTGACTTCGAGCTAGCGCAACTATCGACGGCTACCAAACCAATTTCACTCCCATGGTTTGGCTTAACCCGTGGTATGGTTTTCAGGCACTTCCCAAGGATGACGCGTGCTGGGATCGTATCCACAGGTTGATATTATCAAGAAGTTACATCCCTGACAAATCGACCTTGGTGAGATTCGTACCCAGGTTCCATAGCTCAGAAAGCAAAGGTTCTAACCACTCGGCCAGGTGTGCATATTTTCGCATAAATACCCTGAGGAGCGTATAAACCCAATTAATGGGTTAAATTGCAGGGTAGACTGGGTTCACTGGTAGTGGTTGTTAACCAGTCTAGGAGAAGGACAACTCTGAATTCAAAACCCCTTCGTGTGCTAATTTAACTCGGGGCGAAATTTTACTCTATTACAGGTATAGAGAAATGAGTTGTGGGACAGGCAATAGCGAGCTTTTGTACTGGTCCACCTTTCCTCCTTCTGACTAGCGTTTGTTTAAATCTTAATTTAAACATCGTCAGAGACATATTTCATTAGTTATCAGAGAACTACCTCACCTTTGGACAACGGGTATGTGGATTTTTCATCGTGCCCACGTCGCTATCGAATGTAACACAAGGTCCAAAAGGGGAAGTACCGTGGGTGCCTGAGAATGCCGAACATAACCCTTTATTTCGATCACTGGGGTAGACTGTTCTAGTTCCACGTGCCATGTTTAATGGATGTCAGTTATCGGTTATCTCTTGTTCATTCCCCTCTTCGAGTTCTTAACCAGGTATTGAACTCACACTCTTTGGGTCCTGTCACTGGATCTAACTAACGCATTATCCACTGTGCCATGTGTCCTTGAGCGATCGAAATAAAGGGTTCGACATTCCAACCACCTAAAGAAGGCTGGAGCGTACAACGGCCGAAACGTTGTAATAAATATGGTGACAAAGATGAGAACAATAGTCCGAATAACGTAAATTCGGTACATAATACCTCATCTCAGAAATATAGATAGATACTAAAATATAGCGGTGAATGCTGGACAATCTCCTCACAGATGAAGAAGAGACTTGAAGCAATAAAGATGTGGTTCTACAGAAGAATACTGAGAATACTATGGACCAAACGCGGAAATATTAAGTGAAACTGCATTCTTCTCCTTGGTTCACTCGTGCTTGTTCAACCTCTACAGTCCACAGGAATCATTGCCCCGCATATACCAACGTGATAGTTCTGATCATAACAGACGTCTCTTTGTATCTGCTCGTAATAATTGTAAGCGTGTGTTCAACGAGGCTAAGATGATGTTCGCTGATAGAATCAGATACAGTATAGCCTCTCATAATTTTTGCTCTCGTGATTACTGGTGGCTCTGTAAGAGTGTCTTAAACAAGGGTAAATCCTCAATCAATTTGAAGTGCTGTCATCTATTACTGATAAAGCAGAATGCTTGGCGCATAAATGCTATTCCAGCTCCACTCTCGACACATCAGAAATTTCATTGCCTGATTTTTCCATCTAGAACCGAATCTCTACTATGTGGTATACATATAACTCCGTTCATGCTTTCTACTATTATCTCCAAACTAGATTTCCACAAAGCATACAAACTCGATAGTATCCGTGAAATGATCCTTAAAAAATCTGCTCCTGAATTGGACCTTTGTTCTTTCTAAACTCTACAAGAAATGTCTTGTTGCTTCGTGTTTTCCAGGTTTCCTATATCCTCTTCTGATCCTTTGAATCATCGTCCTATTAGTATTCTACCTCATTTTGGCAAAGTACTAGAGGCCCTAATCAACCCCGAATTGGTCAAACATCTTACTTCGTACGGCTTTCTTTCAAACAAACAATATGGTTTTTGCTTCTTTTGGTTAAATGCCAATGCGTTAACGGTTATTTCTAAAAGAGCTAAGAACAGTGAAGCTCGAACTGTGGCTTTAGATATCCCGAAGGCGTTGAGATTTATTGTAAATTAATACAATTATGGCACAAGGCCAAAAAGGGGGAATGGGTTCAGGCTGGTCTTCACTATCTTATACCTAGCTAATCGGATTCACGGCCCATTCACTCGTTACAATTTCCTCATTCACCATAAAAACATATCCGTCGTCAATCAATCCTCCATACACCATAATACCACATCCTCTCAGGGGTTCAAGAGTTATGGTGACTCAACGAATTTTCGATTTGATCCAATCTTTCTTAACAGATCGTATAATGAAATTCCTATTAAACGGTCGTTCTTCTTGATCCTTTCACATTAATGCGGGTGTCTCCAAGGGCTCTATTCTTGGACCTATGTTTTTTTTATCTTCATCAACAACCTTCTCAATGTCAGCAGTTCCCACCAGGTATTTATGCTGATACATCTATTTATTTTTGTCAAGATCCAAGAGGTCCGATAAAGTAAAACTAGCAGCTGATCTCGAAAATGACCTCCAATCAATCAGTTGTTAACTGCGGCAAGAAACGACTTGTAAATTTTAACGCCTCAAAAAGGAAACATCTTTTAGCCATCTTAAAGAACGATTCCATCAGCATGATTAAGGCTAACCTCCAGAAGGGCAACCCATTGCGCCTTCTCAGACTCACGTTTTCCAGTGACACAAAGTGGAAAGATGATATTGAATCGACTGCTGGATCTACTGCTAGGAAAGTTGTTCACTTTGTCGTGCCAGACAATTTTTCTCGCCAGAATTCATCCTGCGAATTTATAAATCTGCCATTCGTCCTTTCATTGAATATTGCTTCCACATCTGTTCTGGAACTCCTGCTATATAGCTCGAGAGTCTCGACAAAATCCAAAAAAGTGTCTGTAATATTATCGGTCCTGAGCTGGCCTCTTAACTTCAATCACTTTCACACCGCCGTAAGGTAAATTCCCTCTGTTTTTTTTTGTTTTTTTTTATAACTATTTCATGCCAATTGTTCTGACGAGCTTCCCTCCTTGGTACCTCGCCCGCATGAATTCAAGCGTATTACTAGATTGGCAATTAGGTCTCATCGTTTTACTGTTGCAACAACTTATGTAACCGTAAGTTCTATTCTGACAGTTTCTTTACTCGCGCCTCTTAACTGTAGAACTATATTTCCGCTTCTCGCTTCTCTTTCACCTACGATTAATTAATTATAGCATAAATCGCCATCTTCCGTCTTCATGAACCATAGTCTTTTATTGTCTTTAATCCTCGATAAAACCTTGCTCTTTAGTAGCACTATCGCCTTGCTTGGGGTGAAATGATTAAATAAAAGAAAACAGATTCCTAATTGACATTAAATTCGAATCAGACAATCTGACATGAATCGTATATTGCACTAAGATTATCTTAGTTTGATACACGTCCATGTAAGTAGGGCACCGAATGAGGAAGAAACTTATTGCAATAATAATGGCCAGAAAGGCAAGCTTCCACGCGGTTAGAGACTTTACAAGCGAAATTATAATCTCCAGAACTAACAGTGTCACCAGTCACAATTAAATTGGTATTCTTATCAATTTATTTTGTTGGTTAGCCTCATTCAGTTAGGGTTTGATTGATCGATTTATTTTTCTTATGGCTTATCAACCATTTGCAGATTATTTAAACCCGTAAAATATTTTTAAATTGTAAAAATTTTGTTTTGTGTGTGGGGGGGGGGAGATATCGATTTACTAATACAAGTCCTACTATTTAACCCATAGCTGGGAAGAGAAAAAGTGGATTCATACCTTTCCAAAGGATATTTGGCGTAAGTGAATATAATGAACCGTACTCGAATTCGAACTTGGCTCTTCGATTTCCAAATTCCGAGTCGTTATACATACATTATACCACCCGCACACCAAAACTTTGAGAAACTGATATTCCTAAGCAGTCAGCTATCTAGCTACTGACCAAGCTCACTGTTGTTTAATTTCAGTGATCGTACGGGAACCAGTGTTTCAGCGGGATATGGCCGTAAACTTCTTCAGTCACGATCTGAACATGGACAGGAATAAAAACAAATTTTAAAAATATATATATATATATTGGAGTCAGTTGTTTCCCTTTTTGGATAATTAACTGGAGACAAACCGCTAACATAATCTTCTTTCAGTGTGCTTGAAATATCGTTGCAATAAGACGATAAAATTATACAATATTTCTTCTGGCGTGCATTCTCATCTTGCTTGTTTTTATCATACGTTTCGGCCATTAGAGCCTTAGG